TAGCATATACAACTGTTTTTTGCAAACTGGATCACGGGTCAATAAATCTGTAGTGCATATGGGCCAGTGAGCTCACTCACTCGCTCGCTCTCTCTTTCGCTCCGTGTGCCTGTGGTTTTATGATCTGTTTGTGGAGCGATAATTAACATTAATCAACGCTTTGTATTCCTCTTCTGAATTGTATACACCGTTGGGCGTTATCTAGTAATAGTTGTCAGGACGAGGAGGAGTATACGAAGTTTAAGAATTATATCGATTACCGACCGCCACAGAAAATTGGTGAGCTCACCAGCCCCACCACATTAGTCAGAATGTTATTCATTGTTGATATGTAACATTCATACATTCCTGTTGTAATCAAATTAATTCTTTATTGATTTAAGCTCCGATTGCATTCATCAGTAATTATAAAATTCTTTTGTTTTGATTTCCGTTTTTTTAATCCCTCACTCCATCCCATCATCTAACTAACATGTTAGATTGCAGATTAAATAGATAATTTACCGTGAGATATAATATTGTAATCGATATAGGTTCGGCTGCCTACTTGAATAATTTACGCTACCTTTTTTCTAACATTCAAATATTTTAAAACAAGTTATCTCTTTTGTATGAAGGATGCACATCCATACATAGTGTTTATTTAAATGACCATTTCAAAAAAGCAAAAGCTGACTCAACACAAATGTATGCAGAAAAAAATTAGAAATCAACCCGATTGAAATATGTACACACATATTTCTAAATCTTAGTTGAATTCATGCATAATGGAGTTCATAGTATTTTTTAAATAGATTGAAATAGGTCAGATAAATAAAATTTTCTAACTCATTGTGGGATGATAAATATATACATATGAGAGGTAGTTTAGATATGTGCATTGCCCAGCTGAAATCTGAAACAAGTGATTTATGGTAAATAACGGTTCTAATATTCATCATAAATATATATATATACATCATTACCTAAACAAATATTACCACCTATAATTGTTCAATTAATCAAATCAAATCCACAACAGTAACAAATAAGTGATATTCTATCCCACGTGGATAGATCAGATTCGTTCGAAAGAGAATATTTGGTTGCTTTATAACACAGAATGTTTCCTGTTTCTGGAAGGGTGCTTCAATTCACAATCGAAACGTACAATTCCAGTCAATCCAAGCAAGCAACACAATCAAAAGAGGAACAAATCAAATATGACTGTCGTCATGATCAAGTATCAGCTAAAACAACAACATAAATGCAGTTGAGAAAGAAACATAGAAACTCAGTGAAGGCAAAATAAGAAATAGAAACTATAATAAAATACAAATATTATCAACTCAAAAATGGAATCGAACAGACTAACAAAATGTACAGTTGAAGGAATCAACCAGACAACCATTGAGTACGCTGTGCTACGCATCATCTGGCATCGACTAACTAACATACTTACGCCTGTTACCCCCAATGCAGCATAGACCGCCCACCAGTTTTCTCCAACCAGCTCTGTCCTGGGCTTCCCTTTCCACTTCTGTCCAATTTTCGGTTCATTCCTCTCATATCTTTCTCCATTTCTCGGCGTAATCTGTTCCTTGGCCTTACTCTTTTCCTTCTGCCTTGAGGGTTTCAAGTAAGGGCTTGAATGATCAATGCTAGATCACTAACAGTAGCAACTCTCTGTTCATCAAACAGTCATTCATTGACAATTCAGAATACAGTTGTACTCTGTACAGTCTAACTTGTCTCTCCCTTACATCAGCTGTGCACATCATGACTCCTCACACGTAAGAACCAAACTCAACAGTAGACAGTGTTTAAAAAATTCATATAATATTTCACTGAATGATAGAACCCTTAGATAACGGCTCAGTGGTCCGATGGTTAGGGCGTTCGCACACAATACCGAAGGTCCTGGGTTCGAATCCCGTGGGGTGCAGGAGTTGTGGACGCGCTCACTGCCACTAGTGAGTCCCATACACCAGGACGAAACGGCCATCATCCAGTGCTTCCAGGTTTCTTCTAATGGTGATGGTCTAACATTGATCGATTCATGGTTTCAAAAATGTGTAACCTAAAACAATCTTCACAACCCCGTAATGCCAATCAAACAATACACAGTACAGTTTTGTACTCTGTACAGTCCAACTTGTCACTACTCACTCCCTTACACATCCATCCATCAGATACATCAAAAGATATAAATTAATAAGCTGAATTAAATAAAAAAGGAGGAAAAAGCTAATTAATATTCATTGTTATTCCAAAGTAAAATCTAGGAAATAACACTTGCAACATGACATTCGCAATTTGTGTAGTGAAACCCCCAACCTCGATACTTTCGAATTGCGGTAAGATAATTTAAAATTCAAATTTAAATTGTTTTACAGCTAGTTAGTTGACTTTCGATAACACACACACACACATACCGAATCCGGAAAAATTCATAATTTCCAAATAATTGAATCCTTTCAATATTCACATGAATTTGCTGTCAAATCAATAAGTGTTTTTGAAGTATACTTTTGGCTGTAGATTGACTTCGTTTTGAACTATTTTTTCTGTTTGCATAACAGACACAATGAATTTGTATAAAAATTCTGTCGCAAATATTAATTTCAGAAAATCTACAGTTGATGGTTAGTTTTATCTAATTTCTCAATTAGAGGTTGCACAGTGGCCTAGAGGTTAGGCGTTCGCGTGCGAGACCTAAGGTCCTGGGTTCGAATCCTGCGATGGTGCAGGAGTCGTGGATGCACACCGCTGCTGATGAAACCCTTAACAAGACGAAATGGTCGTACAGTGCTTTCGGCTTTCTAATGGTGGTCTAACAATGATTGATTTCAAATGTGTTTAATTTAATTGTCAAATACTGATCATTCGAATAAGTATTTTTCGATTGAGAGAAACAGAACAACCATATCAAGTAGGCTTGATTCAAGTTTATGTATAACATTAGAAGAAATCATTGAATTGTATTTTGGCTGACAACTTCGTTCTAGTATATATATATATATTGCATACAATAAAGTCCACTAATAACTGTGTTGTTATATTTCTCATGTAATCGACAGGCCGCCTAAATCCTACTAAATAGAATACACTAGACACAAATCCAGGAAAGACATTTACAATTAACTCATACTGATGAAAAATTACTCACTCACATTCTTACTTATCTGCTAACGCCTTTTAACCTTAATGAAGCATAACCCACTGACCAACATTCGGTTTCTTTGAGATGGTAGAGAAAATTTGTAGCTCAGGTGGATGATTGTGGTGGAGTTTCGTTCTCTGAGCTGGATATTTTGGTTGTGGAGCTTTTATGCTTGTTCTTCTGAACTACAACATCATCAGCACAAACTTCAGATCATAGGCGAACAACATAGGATCAAGAAACAGATCAAATGGGGGGATACAATCAAAATAAAGGTTGACAGAAGACCAGTTTAAATGCTTAATATTCATCAAAGCTCTTCAGTCACCCACCGCAAGATGCTGAAATCAGAACTAGACTTTTGATTCGAATGGACCAAGACCCTAACGTCACACTCAAAACGTTGATAGATGAGTGTAAACGACTACAAAGTATCAGATACGACACCATGTTGATTGAACAGGTAAATCCTAATTTAACCAGCAGTAGTGTCAATGCTATTACTAGGTTAAAAGTACAGAAGCCGAAAACATTTTGCAACAAACCAACGACGGCATTTTGGTTATGTGGTGATTGGCACTACATACGGTTCTGTCCATTTAAAAAACATAAATGTCAGATGTGCAATAAACGTGGACATGAAGAAGGCCATTGTCAACCAAATCGTACGTCTCAGCCCAAGAAGAAGCACAAACGTACTCGACATGTGATGAAATCAGCCGAGTCTAAATCACTTTCTCTCGTAGCTGCTTTCTAAACAGACTATGACGTTCGGAGAAAGTATGTGACTATCCAGATGAACGGTGCATCAGCTCGTTTTCAAATCGACACGGCATCTGATATCACCTTAATGTCTAGAGAAACGCACAACTCGCGCGTTTTCATCCGATGGTTAGTCCTCAAAATAATTGAGGCTAAGTATGAGCACTGCAATATTTGCTTTGATTCGCTGCCATGTGAAAACATGTGCAAACAACGACAGGCTTAAGGTCAACAACAACAACAACCAATCAAGACCGAGGTTAACAGAACAAGGTACAAGTTAAACGTGGAGAAATTCGAAGACTTCACTTCTACCGTATAGTTTGTGCTGATGATGATGTTGTTTTTCAGAAGAACAAGGATGAAAGATCCACAACCAAACCAACCAACCATATAAGAGAACGAAACTCCATCACAATTCTTTTTCTTTATCCGGTCTTGGGACCGTCAGTAACCCTAGAAGCTCTCCAGACAGAGTTTGCTCACAATCATCTCAGCGTAAAAATACAATTCACTGAATGGGTATGCGTTGATAAATCTATACAAACTAGAGAATAGTTGGCTATCAAACATTTTCATCTTGTCATATCTTATCATTTATATTTTTACTTAGAGTTATGTCAGTCACAAACGATTCTAAAGATCCAGTCGATGAAGTCTACCTGTAGTGAACGAGAACACAGGTGGGGCAACCGAATTGTATTTAACGAAAATTACAGACTTACTCAGTAAAATAGGAAAACCATATCGTAAATCGTTTTAATTTGCAAAATATCAGTCCATCATCATATCGAACTGGACTGTTCCTGTTGCAAAACATCAATCCATTGTCACTATTCTCATGCGTTTCATGGCAATTCCATTGTTTTCTAACTCTTCCTTTCTTGATCTTCCCCCCATATTATGCTACCAGACTTTACGTTGACACTCACGTTATATACTACTTATAAGTAGCTCATACCACATACCAAGTAGACAATTAATATGCGATTAGATGAGCAATAACTTCACTGTATATAACATTTAAATGTGTTGTTGTCGCTTTACTAAATATTGAGATTAATTTGTTTTTTTTTCAACTTTATTTTACACCCAGAAGAAAAAAATGATCAATCCTACATTCCCACACATTTATCAACATTGAAATCTATACGTGCTGATTTAATACGACGTTGTGATCAATTAGTTGCACGTTTAGAACAACAAACAATGCCACATTCTACATTGAATATAAACGAAGAATTGAATTACATTAGTGAGAGTTTAGTTTCACTTGCGCATAAACTTGATGATCCTGACTACAACTACGCGACGACGACAAATGACAATCCGTCATTAATGATGATGATGATGATGATGGGGATGGATAAATTCGACAAACGAATGCATGATTTACAAGAAATTCAAAATGAATTCATTTATATTGAAGGAAATTTACAACGATTAAAATGTACCATGACTACTGCGACTACAACTACTACATCTATGCCTTGTTGTTCTAATGAGTTCATCAATAAATTGAATTGTATTGAAGAAGAATTATATGATATGCAAATGAATTTACAAAATAAAATTACATATTTAAATAATTTTCATGTAAAATACACTCATTTAATGAATGCTTTTCAAATAGAATATCATTGGATCATGGAAATAATGAGACAATTGGAAATTGGCTTTGATCAAGTTCACAATGTAATCACAATACAATCAGAATTAAGCGATTCACCGATGATGAATATTGATTATACGGATACTAATACTACTACTAATAATACTACTAATACTAATAATCATGGTCACCTACAACAAGATCTTATTGTATTCTACAATCTTATTCACATATTATCACAATATCATTGTCATAAACTTTTACCATTATTACAAGACTATGATCAATTCATTAATGATCATCATATTAGACTAGAAGAATTCGTTGCATTTCTGTATCACAACAGTAATAATAATGATAATAATAATCTACACTTACCTTTGATGGTGTATAATTTATGGAATAAATTAATTCTAGAATTAATACCAAAGAAATTGAATGAATTGGTGAGTAGTAGTAGTAGTAGTAGTTTTATTCATTTATTATTGATCAGTAGATGAATTTATAATTTTTCAATTATTAGGTTAGTGAGAGAATGAATGAATGATCAACTGGAGAGAGAGATAAATAGTGTTTCTATCTGAAGACGACGAATTATATAGTTTGTTTACTGTATGTGCTAAACCCGACCGTAGCTGCTACCTCTGACACGTGGTGGTCGAGCTTGTCGATCGTGATGACCCGACTGAGCTATACTGGCTGGAACATACATATGTTCCTGAAGGTTCTACCGTTCCGGGCAAGTCGATTGGAGAACGATGAGACTAAAAGCAGCTATTCAAGGTCTGAGGGCGAAGTCGTACTGCTGACTGACTGTAGAGGGGTGTGACAGCAGTAAGGTCAGTCAGTCAGTCAGTCAGTTGCAACGTAGAACTTCGTACGTAAGTACATTAGTTCATGTTGCCATACCACATCAGCACAGAGATGTAATTGTTAATTCAAATCCAATAGTAGAAGAGGTAGTAAAGGTATTAGAAGTAGTCGGAGAAGTTAGAATTAGAAGATATTCACGAAGTATGATTCAGTGAGATAAGTTTAGGAAGTCAAAACTAGAGGTGTTGAAGAATCCAAAATATTAGGATTTGAGAGAACACAAAGAATGAATGCACCGGCGCCATTGCAAACGATTTTGAGCCATGTCGTTCAAGGTCTCTAACCATCGATTACTATCATCTCGCGGACCCCAACCAGGTAGTCGACAATTACCGACATGGCTCAGTCCACTCGTCAATGACTTCATGGATTTCTGCCATGTTTTGGTCTGGCCGCCCCTAACCTTCTTTCGACCTATTCCTACACCACCGAACAAAGCTCGTCAAGGCAGTCGGTGGTTAGTCATACGCAACACATGTCCCAACCACCTCAACTGATGAAGTTTCACCACTTCATCTATTGATCTGCCATTCTTACATAGCACCCGTTTCCTAATAACAGCGTTGCTCACTCGGGTGTCCCACGATATACGAGCAATGCTTCGAAGACACGTATGATCGAAAACCAGTAACCTACGAATATCTTCTACTCTCACTGGCCATGTTTCACAGCCATAAAGTAAGACGGAGCGAACTACTTCGCGGTACACTCGTCCTTTACTCAGCAAGCGGTTATCTCGCCTACGCCATAAGTGACGCAGGTTGGCGAAAGCCAATCGAGGTTTCTGTATCTGAGCTGAGATTTCGTCAGTCACCAGGCCATCGGCACTGATGAGACTCCCGAGATAAGTGAAGCGGTCTACATGTTCGACTACTTCACTCCGTATCACTAGTTCAGGTGCCGATGAAACCCAATCTTGAAGCATCCCGAACATGCTTGCATTGTTGCTTAGGGTAGTCAGAAGACTCTGCATTTTGTCAGCGTCTTCACCAAGTAGGACAATGT